CGAGCTCGTCAAGGTCTATTCAGCATAGGTATAAATACGAGGGTTATAATTTTAATTAATTTATAATAAACTATGTAGTAATTATAATAATTATACAATTGTTAATAAATTGATAATATATCATACAAATATAATATCAATGTTAATATTTAATTTAACTATTTACATAATGATATATGTCCCACTCTGGATGAGAATACCTTTTAAAGAGTAAGGCTATGTGAAAGTGAATCGAAAAGAAATAGGTTCAATATAGCCCTTATACAAAAACTATCAGTTATCTTTATTTCACTTATGTTTAGAAAAACTGATGAAGCAGAATCCCGGCATTTCAAATCATCAATTCTTCCTTTCAAAAAGGATGAAAACTATTTGAGTCAGTCAGAGAACTTACAGTAGGTCTCGGAAGATTGCCCTCGCCATCGAGACACCGTGCGCTGAATCGTTTGCTGGGACTCGAACTCCGGCCCCTGAACACCGTCACCGTCTGCTGAAGTCGATCACATGACTCTGGTACCGCCTTTTCTGGTTCGATATCTGAAGTCGTTTGACCTGGGGGAGTACCGGCGTCGGGGCTATTCGTTTCATTAGCTCCACCTGTTGCTAGGACAACAGACATACCGGCCTCAACAAGAGGTAAAGATGTGGGTGGTTGCGGTGACAAGGTATAGGCAGCTGTCACCGTGGCAACAGTATCCGCAGATCCAGCAGATCCTGAGCCAGTGTAGGAGAGAGAATCAAGTGGAGTTGAAGTGCAGCAGTATCTATTCTGACCGCCGGCCGACAGAGTAGAACTGTTGGAAGAGGAATGACCGAGTGGCGAATCGCAGAGCCTCGACTCCGAAAGGGCCTTTCCGGTTGGAATGGCAGCTCCGAGTGAGGCTTCTGGATCATTTTGGTAGTCCTGAACATTTGTTATAATTGGCATAACAACATGAGGCATTGCAAATCAGAAGATGAACCACTTTTGACAGCAACGTGTGGGCAAAGTATAAATCACATCGAAGGGCATATAATTGAGTTTTCCCGGACAATGAGGCGAGGATGCCTGTGAATGTCAATGAATTTCACAAGTATGCTATCCTATCAAAATGATTTCTCATTCCGACTGGACTAGACTGGACTGCAGTTTCGGCCTTAACGAGATTTGATACCGGATCGTGAGTATCGTGGTGCCATTTTCACTCAACTACACAGCCAGACGACGAGCCAGGACTCTCTTAAATCACGTTTTCTAGTAAGACTGCCGATTATACAAACTTGTATTTACCTGTATTCGTTTGAAAGTAGGGTTTCGAGACTTCATCACTTTACACGAAATAGGTTGAATACATCTCATTATA